GACAAACATTTATAGATATTAGAAACTACCAGATCAAATAATGTGGAAAAATCAATTCCCTCTGATTAAAGTCTAGAAGAACCCAAAGAATTGATAATACAACTGTTTACTCAGAAAGGAATACACAAGACATAAGGTGTTTCAACTATAAGTTCAAATTACAGTTTGTTAGAAAATGTCGACAAAGGCTTTTATGAAATAGAAACTGTACCCAAAGAATGGCAGTTAAAATAAACTTCTATAAGTGTGGAAAACATAAATGATATATACGAAACAGTAATGAATTATCCAGTCCACGAATCAATGGATTCATTGGTGGAAAGCCTTGCAATACATTGATCGACACTGGCTCTACATCTACCATTGTCTGACCTTATCTGGGAAATTATCTGTAGAGATGAAGCAAGAAGATGTGCTGATGTGAACAGAAAATGGTCATAAAGCTCCAGACAGAGGAAAATTAGAAGTCGCCCTCACAATGGAATGCTTCTCTGCACAACATCATACGTTGTCAATTGAAACTGAGAAAAGTGTATATTGGGAACAGCTTCATGCAAAAGTAAGGTCAGACTTGATTCAAATGTGTCACACCATCTATAACCAGATGCAGAAGTAAGGTCAGACTTGATTCAAATGTTTTACACCATCCATAACCAGAAAATCGAATATGTATTACATGACAGTTGGACTTCCAGGTAAAGCATAGATAGAGGCAGAAGACAACGAGGGGAATCAACCTAAAGTACAAAAGACCAGAATCCGAAAAGACAGGATGTCCAAATAGAAGGTCATCCACCATAATCGTCTTTGGATGTAAGTAAGTAGAATTGTCAGAGAAGACTTCACCAAAAGTATATCAAACTAGTGAAGACTCCTCTCAAGACCACTTCTAGAATATCACCAACATTGTAGACATCAGTGTACTACCTACCTGAAAAGAAAAAAAGACTTGACAAAGGGCAGTTTATATGAGTAATATAAGATTATTTTATAAATAAACTTTGGATCTTTGTTTCACAGATTAAATTAATGATTGTAATGTCTATAATATTAATTTTGTTAGTTGTCAAGAGATACTCTTGTGTAATTTTTTAAGTTTACGCTTAATATACCATTGTTGTCTTTGTGTAATTTGCTTGTTTGTTTGGTTCAATTACACGAGGTTATCTGTATTAGTTGTAACTTGGGTTACTTTTGCAGACTGAATAGTGGGATTTAACTGTCACTTTTATAACGCACCCACGGCTCCAAAGTGCAAAGTGTGCTTCTTTGTTATTGTATCGAGGTGCAAACCATGGAACTCCATAGTCTAGCACGCTAACAACTGGCTATGCACGGCCAGTCTTTTTTGTGTACCCGTTTTTTTAAAGACTTCACAACCATTTAGAGGACAATGTTGTAGGCAATGCTTTAAACTTTTGTCTTGCTGTTTGACCAGAGGGAGATTTGACTTAGCATGGTGTGAGGAAAGTTTAGGAAAAGAATTAAGCAATATAAATTACGAGCTAGGATAGCATGCGTTATTGTTGATTATTGAGACAGTCAATTAGTTGGTCATTAAATGGACTGGAATCTGCATTCTTCATTTTCACCAAACAATTTAAAATAACCTACCAAACTCTAAATACCATTAGAAAATACCAAACCACATTAATCAGACAGTTATTAAAATGTTGATGTTGTTTAGTTCAACGGGTCGCTACTTTATGTATCTATGTAGAGTAAAGGACAACTTGAAGATGAGGCCTTTTTTTTTCGTAAATACTTGCTCTCTTTAAAGTTACAAACAGTCGTGAAAGTTAGACACTTCTTAAACAAACGCTTGTTTATTTATCGCCAGTGAAAGTTAGACACTTCTTAAACAAACACTTATTTATTTATCACCAGGGAAAGTTTGACACTTCTTAAACAAACACTCGTTAATTTATCACCAGTGAAAGTTGGACACTTCTTAAACAAACACTTATTTATTTATCACCAGTGAAAGTTAGAGCCTTCTTAAACAAACACTTACTTATTTATCACCAGGGAAAGTTTGACACTTCTTAAACAAACACTTATTTATTTATCACCAGGGAAAGTTAGAGCCTTCTTAAACATACACTTGTTTATTTATCACCAGTGAAAGTTAGACACTTCTTAAACAAACACTTACTTATTTATCACCAGTGAAAGTTAGAGCCTTCTTAAACAAACACTTATTTATTTATCGCCAGTGAAAGTTAGAGCCTTCTTAAACAAACACTTATTTATTTATCACCAGGGAAAGTTTGACACTTCTTAAACATACACTTGATTGATTTATCACCAATGAATCAAAATGAAAGTTAATCCTTTTTCTGCTCCTCCCTCCCTCCCAAGTGCTATCGGCCATGTTTTATCCTGGACTACATGTTTCTAGAAGTTTATATTGTTCATTGGCCAGAGGGAGATTTGACGTAGCATGTGTGAAGTTTTTTCATAAAACAGTTTCAACAAAGGTGTTAGAGTAAGTTATTTTTGAGTCTGTTGATAAGTTACATTGAGTATAAAGTAATTAGTTACAATTTGATTGAATTAAAACACAGGCTATAGCAGTGCATTATTCAACTTAGTTATTTTTGAGTCTGTTGATAAGTTACATTGAGTATAAAGTAATTAGTTACAATTTGATTGAATTAAAACACAGGCTATAGCAGTGCATTATTCAACTTAGTATTTAGTTTTTTATTTTAAGTTCAGCATCATATTTTTAGTTATTTTTGATATGCCCCCAGTGGCACATCGGTATGTCTGCGGACTTATAACGCTAGAATTCTGGTTTCGATAGCCGTGGTGGGCAGAGCACAGATAGCCCATTGTGTAGCTTTGTGCTTAATTACAAAGAAACAAACAAGTTTTTGATATGTGTTTTATCAACTCGGTATTTAGTTCATAATGTTTTTAATTTATGATATGTGTTATATCAACTCGGTGTTTAGTTCATATTGTTTTCACTTTATGATATGTGTTGTTTTCAACTCTGTGTTTAGTTCATATTGTTTTCACTTTATGATATGTGTTGTTTTCAACTCGGTGTTTAGTTCATATTGTTTTTACTTTATGAGATGTGTTGTTTTCAACTCGGTGTTTAGTTCATAATGTATTTATTTGTTTTTGATATGCGTTTTTTTCAACTCGGTGTTTAGTTCATATTGTTTTCACTTTATGATATGTGTTGTTTTCAACTCGGTGTTTAGTTCATATTGTTTTTACTTTATGATATGTGTTTTTTAACTCGGTGTTTAGTTCGAAGTGTTTTTACTTTCTGGTATATGTTTTTTAAACTCGGTGCTAGTTCATAGTGTTTTTATTTTTTGATATGTGTTTTTCAACTGAGTGTTTAGTTTATAATGTTTTTACTTTATGGTATATGCTTTTTTTTTCAACTCGGTGTTAGTTCATAGTGTTTTTAATTTTCGATATGTGTTTTTTCAACTTGGTATTTAGTTTATAGTGTTTTTACTTTTTGGTATATGTTTTTTCAACTCGGTGTTTAGTTCATAGTGTATTTACTTGTTTTTGATATGTTTTTTTTTAATTCGGTGTTTAGTTCATAGTGTATTTACTTGTTTTTGATATGTTTTACTCGGTGTTTAGTTCATAGTGTTTTCACTTTATGATATGTGTTTTTTTCAACTCGGTGTTAGTTCATAGTGTTTTTTTTAACTTGGTATTTAGTTCATAGTGTTTTTAATTTGTGGTATATGTTTTTTAACTCGGTGTTTAGTTCATAGTGTATTTATTTGTTTTTGATATGTTTTACTCGGTGTTTAGTTCATAGTGTATTTACTTGTTTTTGATATGTTTTACTCGGTGTTTAGTTCATAGTGTATTTCCTTTATGATATGTGTTTTTTTCAACTCGGTGTTAGTTCGAAGTGTTTTTTAACTTTTGATATGTGTTTTTTTTAACTTGGTATTTAGTTCATAGTGTTTTTAATTTGTGGTATATGTTTTTCAACTCGATGTTAGTTCATAGTGTATTTACTTGTTTTTGATATGTGTTTTTTATTTTTAACTCGGTGTTTAGTTCGAAGAGTTTTTAATTTTTGGTATATGTTTTTCAACTCGGTGTTAGTTCATAGTGTATTTACTTTATGATATGTGTTTTTTTAACTCGGTGTTAGTTCATGGTGTTTTTAGTATTTGATATGCTTTTTCAACTCGGTGTTTTGTTCATAGTGTTTTTAACTTTTGATATGTGTTTTTTTTTTTTCAATTTGGTATTTAGTTCATAGTGTTTTTTTTTTCGTTTTGATATGTGTTTTTCAACTGAGTGTTTAGTTCATAGTGTATTTACTTGTTGACATATGTTTTTTAAACCGGGTACTTAAATGATCGTGTTTTTACTTTATGGTATATGTTTTTTTTTTAACCGGATATTTACTTTATGGTTTTAAAGACATATTTACTGTTTACAGTTTGTGGAACATCGTGACTTTCTAAGGTAGGTACGCACCCATGTTTGGACCACTTGTCCATCCATTATATAGGCCTTCCTTCCTAATACACACACACACACACACCATTCTTATAGCAAAACAGCGCTACACCAGATTTGATGTTATCAGTTGGTTTACAGATAAAACTTACCGTTATTAACTATAGCTTCTGGTGTTATACAGACAAAACTTACCGTTATTAACTATAGCTTCTGGTGTTATACAGACAAAACTTACCGTTATTAACTATAGCTTCTGGTGTTATACAGACAAAACTTATCGTTATTAACTATAGCTTCTGGTGTTATACAGACAAAACTTACCGTTATTAACTATAGCTTCTGGTGTTATACAGACAAAACTTACCGTTATTAACTATAGCTTCTGGTGTTCTACAGACAAAACTTACCGTTATTAAGTATAGCTTCTGGTGTTATACAGACAAAACTTACCGTTATTAACTATAGCTTCTGGTGTTATACAGACAAAACTTACCGTTATTAACTATAGCTTCTGGTGTTATACAGACAAAACTTACCGTTATTAACTATAGCTTCTGGTGTTATACAGACACTTCTTTCATAGAGCGGAAATCCTGTGCAGTCCAAATAGTCAGGCCAAGAGACATTGAATCTGTTTAACAAGGGTTCGCATCCCTCGCGTGCCCGTTCACAGACACTGCGACAAGGGGGAATGACCTCAATGGGGAACTCCATGGTACAGATGGGGGCGTAGAGAGAACACAAGAAGAAAGGAAGGTACGGAGAGCATTTAGTCTTGACCAGAACTTCAAACTGCTCTGATGCTAACATGGCATTTTCTTGGGTGCTGTGGTGCATCAGGTTAGGCATACGAGTCATGTTGTACGGCATGTTCAGGCACATGGGAATCTCTACGGGTTCGCACGAGTAAACCGTTGCTGCCGTGGCAAGCATGTGTAGAAAACCCAACATGGTCGTCATGTGTAACGTGTGGTGTGCTCGAGCTTTGAGGAGATGTTTATCAAAGCCACATTCGGCACCATCGGGTGTGTGCTTTCTTCTCTTAGCTGTGACTCATCCAATACGAAGTGACACCACAGGTAACGGTCTAAAACGCTGGAGAAGAAGTGAAACCTTCAAATGTTGATAATTAACTAATTATAAGATATGTCTTTATGAAACGACGCTTGGAAATGATCTAAGTGTAGCCAGTTAAATCTCTTGAAATCCGATAGAGGTCCAGAAGAACATGAAAAGTCAGGTGCAGACCACCTATCAGAACTAGGATGACTCAACCTTACTGCTCACAGTTTTTGTCGAATCTCAGATTACGTCTTACGTTCTATTGATTTCATAGCATTCTAAAAGTTCCAAGCGTTTCGAAAAAGAGAAATAAAAAAGAGAACTTTATGTTGAAGTATGAGAGACAGTTCTGTCTGATGAAAGATTGAGTACTCTCATATTTGTGTGGCTGACATGACAACCACCGCATCACAAGTCAGCAAGGCGACACTTCCAAACATGCCATCTGGCGGACCACATCATCGCATCTTGCCAGGCCGTTTTCAAGTCTTGCAGAAATATTTTCACCGGCAGCGTTGGTTCAAAGAACGCCGCTCTGGCGGAGAACCAAGACACTTTAATCGTGACCTCAGGTAAAGCTTTTTATTATTTGTATCCCCGCTGAGTGAAAAGGCTTAGAAGAAGCTAGCACCTGCACACTAGTGTATATTTTAATCTCTTGGTTCAAGTGTTTTTAGTCTATATTCAGCAGTTCAGATCGTACAAACAACTTAAGTATATTTTATTCGTAATTCTCCAACATTCCTTGTGTACTACAAGCCTTCCGTCTCACCAGATGGGACACAGTTAACTGTCTGTAATAAATAACACTAAAATACTGTGAGTGTTTCAAATAATCAATAAATCAGCGGCAACCTTCTTCAACTTTTTTCGCAAACTAGAGAAAAATTCTGTTTTTGGAACCATACATCCCAAAATACGATAAAATAACATCTTTCCTCAAAGCTCTGACTGTACAGTGAAATGATAATTGGATATGAAAACATCAGATAACAAGTTATGTCATTATTTGTCCTTACAGCAATTCATATAAACTTTAATTTTAGAAATAAAGATTTTTTGAAAAATATTTTTAATACTTTATAATTATTTTAAAATAAAATTAAGCCAATTTGTCAATTTTCATTTTCCGACAAGATATAATACATCTTTAAAACGTATAATAATAACATTGAAACATTTTCTATTTTAAAGTAGTAATCCAATACAACTTGTTATACAAGAGAGAGACAGAAAAACAAACCTTAAATTACACAGTTGATCAGATTTGTTGTTAGAGGATAGAACTGAAGCATGGTTTAGTAAAGTAGTATACACGTTATAGTATAGAACAGTGAGAAC